ATGGAAAGCGGGAGAATGGGGCGAGGTGATGGAAAGCGGGAGAATGGGGCGGGGTGATGGAAAGCGGGAGAATGGGGCGGGGTGATGGAAAGCGGTAGAATGGGGCGGGGTGATGGAAAGCGGGAGAATGGGGCGGGGTGATGGAAAGCGGGAGAACGGGGCGGGGTGATGGAAAGCGGTAGAATGGGGCGGGGTTATGGAAAGAGGGAGAATGGGGCGGGGTGATGGAAAGAGGGAGAATGGGGCGCGGTGATGGAAAGAGGGAGAATGGGGCGGGGTTATGGAAAGCGGGGGAATGGGGCGGGGTGATGGAAAGAGGGAGAATGAGGCGGGGTGATGGAAAGAGGGAGAATGGGGCGGGGTGATGGAAAGCGGGAGAATGGGGTGGTGTGACGGAATGCGGGAGAATGGGGCAGTGTGATGGAAAGCGGGAGAATGGGGCGGGTGATGGAAAGAGGGAGAATGGGGTGGGTGATATAATGCGGGAGAATGGGGCGGGTGATGGAAAGCGGGAGAATGGGGCGGGGTGATGAAAAGCGGGAAAATGGGGCGGGGTGATGGAAAGAGGGAGAATGGGGCGGGGTGATGGAAAGCGGGAGAATGGGGCGGGGTGATGGAAAGCGGGAGAATGGGGCGGGGTGATGGAAAGCGGGAGAATGGGTCGGGGTGCTGGAAAGCGTGAGAATGGGGCGGGGTGCTGGAAAGCGAGAGAATGGGGCGGGGTGCTGGAAAGCGAGAGAATGGGGCAGGGTGCTGGAATGCGGGAGAATGGGGCGGGGTGATGGAAAGCGGGAGAATGGGGCGAGGTGATGGAAAGCGGGAGAATGGGGCGGGGTGATGGAAAGCGGGAGAATGGGGCGGGGTGATGGAAAGCGGGAGAATGGGGCGGGGTGATGGAAAGCGGGGAATTGGGGCGGGGTGCTGGAAAGCGGGAGAATGGGGCGGGGTGCTGGAAAGCGGGAGAATGGGGCGGGGTGATGGAACGAGGAAGAATGGGGCGGGGTGATGGAAAGTGGGAGAATGGGGCAGGGTGATGGAAAGCGGGAGAATGGGGTGGGGTGATGGAAAGCGGGAGAATGGGGTGGGGTGATGGAAAGCGGTAGAATGGGGCGGGTGATGGAAAGCGGGAGAATGGGGCGGGGTGATGGAAAGCGGGAGAATGGGGCGGGGTGATGGAAAGCGGGAGAATGGGTCGGGGTGATGGAAAGTGGGAGAATGGGGCGGGGTGATGAAATGCGGGAGAATGGGGCGGGGTGATGGAAAGAGGGAGAATGGGGCGGGGTGATGGAAAGCGGGAGAATGGGGCGGGGTGATGGAAAGCGGGAGAATGGGGCGGGGTGATGGAAAGCGGGAGAATGGGGCGGCGTGCTGGAAAGCGTGAGAATGGGGCGGGGTGCTGGAAAGCGAGAGAATGGGGCGGGGTGCTGGAAAGCGAGAGAATGGGGCGGGGTGCTGGAAAGCGGGGGAATGGGGCGGGGTGATGGAAAGCGGGAGAATGGGGCGGGGTGATGGAAAGCGGGAGAATGGGGCGGGGTGATGGAAAGCGGGAGAATGGGGCGGGGTGATGGAAAGCGGGAGAATGGGGCGGGGTGATGGAAAGCGGGAGAATGGGGTGGGGTGATGGAAAGCGGGAGAATGGGGCGGGGTGATGGAAAGCAGGAGAATGGGGCGGGTGATGGAAAGCGGGAGAATGGGGCGGGGTGATGGAAAGCGGGAGAATGGGGCGGGGAGATGGAAAGCGGGAGAATGGGGCGGGGTGATGGAAAGCGGGAGAATGAGGCGGGGTGATGGAAAGCGGGAGAATGGGGCGGGGTGATGGAAAGCGGGAGAATGGGGCGGGGTGATGAAAAGCGGGAGAATGGGCCGGGGTGATGAAAAGCGGGAGAATGGGGCAGGGGTTATGGAAAGAGGGAGAATGGGGCAGGGTGATGGAAAGCGGGAGAATGGGGCGGGGTGATGGAAGGAGGGAGAATGAGGCGGGATGATGGAAAGAGGGAGAATGGGGCGGGGTGATGGAAAGAGGGAGAATGGGGCGGGGTGATGGAAAGTGGGAGAATGGGGCGGGGTGATGGAAAGCGGGAGAATGGGGTGGGGTGATGGAAAGCGGGAGAATGGGGCGGGGTGATGGAAAGCGGGAGAATGGGGCGGGGTGATGGAAAGCGGGAGAATGGGGCGGGATGCTGGAAAGCGTAACAATGGGGCGGGGTGCTGGAAAGCGAGAGAATGGGGCGGGGTGTCGGAAAGCGAGAGAATGGGGCGGGGTGCTGGAAAGCGGGAGAATGGGGCGGGGTGATGGAAAGCGGGAGAATGGGGCGTGGTGATGGAAAGCGGGAGAATGGGGCGGGGTGATTGAAAGCGGGAGAATGGGGCGGGGTGATGAAAAGCGGGAGAATGGGGTGGGGTGATGGAAAGCGGGAGAATGGGGCGGGTGATGGAAAGCAGGAGAATGGGGCGGGGTGATGGAAAAAGGGAGAATGGGGCGGGGTGATGGAAAGCGGGAGAATGGGGCGGGGTGATGGAAAGCGGGTGAATGGGGCGGGGTGATGGAAAGCGGGAGAATGGGGCGGGGTGATGGAAAGCGGGAGAATGGGGCGGGGTGATGGAAAGCGGGAGAATGGGGCGGGGTGATGGAAAGCGGGAGAAAGGGGCGGGGTGATGGAAAGCGGGAGAATGGGGCGGGGTGATGGAAAGCGGGAGAATGGGGCGGGGTGATGGAAAGCGGGGAATTGGGGCGGGGTGCTGGAAAGCGGGAGAATGGGGCGGGGTTCTGGAAAGCGGGAGAATGGGGCGGGGTGATGGAAAGCGGGAGAATGGGGCGGGGTGATGGAAAGCGGGAGAATGGGGCAGGGTGATGGAAAGCGGGAGAATGGGGCGGGGTGATGGAAAGCGGGAGAAAGGGGCGGGGTGATGGAAAGCGGGAGAATGGGGCGGGGTGATGGAAAGCGGGAGAATGGGGCGGGGTGATGGAAAGCGGGGAATTGGGGCGGGGTGCTGGAAAGCGGGAGAATGGGGCGGGGTTCTGGAAAGCGGGAGAATGGGGCGGGGTGATGGAAAGCGGGAGAATGGGGCGGGGTGATGGAAAGCGGGAGAATGGGGCGGGGTGATGGGAAGCGGGAAGATGGGGCGTGGTTATGGAAAGAGGGAGAATGGGGCAGGGTGATGGAAAGCGGGAGAATGGGGCGGGGTGATGAAAAGCGGGAGAATGGGGCGGGGTGATGGAAAGCGGGAGAATGGGGCGGGGTGATGGAAAGAGGGAGAATGGGGCGGGGTGATGGAAAGTGGGAGAATGGGGCGGGGTGATGGAAAGCGGGAGAATGGTGTGGGGTGAAGGAAAGCGGGAGAATGGGGTGGGGTGATGGAAAGCGGGAGAATGGGGCGGGTGATGGAAAGCGGGAGAATGGGGCGGGGTGATGGAAAGCGGGAGAATGGGGCGGGGTGATGGAAAGCGGGAGAATGGGGCGGGGTGATGGAAAGCGGGAGAATGGGGCGGGGTGATGGAAAGCGGGAGAATGGGGTGGGGTTACGGAAAGGGGGAGAATGGGGTGGGGTGATGGAAAGAGGGAGAATGGTGCGCGGTGATGGAAAGAGGGAGAATGGGGCAGGGTGATGGACAGCGGGAGAATGGGGCGGGGTGATGGACAGCGGGAGAATGGGGCGGGGTGATGGACAGCGGGAGAATGGGGCGAGTGATGGAAAGCGGGAGAATGGGGCGGGGTGATGATAAGCGGGAGAATGGGGCGGGGTGATGGAAAGAGGGAGAATGGGGCGGGGTGCTGGAAAGCGTGAGAATGGGGCGGGGTGCTGGAAAGCGAGAGAATGGGGCGGGGTGCTGGAAAGCGAGAGAATGGGGCGGGGTGCTGGAAAGCGGGAGAATGGGGCGGGGTGATGGAAAGAGGGAGAATGGGGCGAGGTGATGGAAAGCGGGAGAATGGGGCGGGGTGATGGAAAGCGGGAGAATGGGGCGGGGTGATGGAAAGCGGGAGAATGGGGCGGGGTGCTGGAAAGCGTGAGAATGGGGCGGGGTGCTGGAAAGCGAGAGAATGGGGCGGTGTGCTGGAAAGCGAGAGAATGGGGCGGGGTGCTGGAAAGCGGGAGAATGGGGCGGGGTGATGGAAAGCGGGAGAATGGGGCGGGGTGATGGAAAGCGGGAGAATTGGGCGGGGTGATGGAAAGCGGGAGAATGGGGCGGGGTGATGGAAAGCGGGAGAATGGGGCGGGGTGATGGAAAGCGGGAGAATGGGGCGGGGAGATGGAAAGCGGGAGAATGGGGCGGGGTGATGGAAAGCGGGAGAATGGGGCGGGGTGATGGAAAGCGGGAGAATGGGGCGGGGTGATGGAAAGCGGGAGAATGGGGCGGGGTGATGGAAAGCGGGAGAATGGGGCGGGGTGATGGAATGAGGGAGAATGGGGCGGGGTGATGGAAAGAGCGAGAATGGGGCGGGGTGATGGAAAGAGGGAGAATGGGGCGGGGTGATGGAATGAGGGAGAATGGGGCGGGGTGATGGAAAGCGGGAGAATGGGTCAGGGTGATGGAAAGCGGGAGAATGGGGCGGGGTTATGGAAAGAGGGAGAATGGGGCGGGGTGATGGAAAGAGGGAGAATGGGGCGCGGTGATGGAAAGAGGGAGAATGGGGCGGGGTGATGGAAAGCGGGAGAATGGGGCGGGGTGATGGAAAGAGGGAGAATGGGGCGGGTGATGGAAAGCGGGAGAATGGGGCGGGGTGATGGAAAGCGGGAGAATGGGGCGGGTGATGGAAAGCGGGAGAATGGGGCGGGTGATGGAAAGAGGGAGAATGGGGCGGGGTGATGGAAGGAGGGAGAATGGGGCGGGGTGATGGAAAGCGGGAGAATGGAGCAGGGTGATGGAAAACGGGAGAATGGGGCGGGGTGCTTGAAAGCGGGAGAATGGGGCGGGGTGATGGAAAGCGGGAGAATGGGGCGGGGTGATGGAAAGCGGGAGAATGGGGCGGGGTGATGGGAAGCGGGAGAATGGGGCGGGGTTATGGAAAGAGGGAGAATGGGGCGGGGTGATGGAAAGCGGGAGAATGGGGCGGGGTGCTGGAAAGCGGGAGAATGGGGCGGGGTGCTGGAAAGCGGGAGAATGGGGCGGGGTGATGGAAAGCGGGAGAATGGGGCGGGTTGATGGAAAGCGGGAGAATGGGGCGGGGTGATGGAAAGCGGGAGAATGGGGCGGGGTTATGGAATGAGGGAGAATGGGGCGGGGTGATGGAAAGAGGGAGAATGGGGCGGGGTGATGGAAAGCGGAAGAATGGGGCGGGGTGATGGAAAGAGGGAGAATGGGGCGGGGTGGTGGAAAGCGGGAGAATGGGGCGGGTGATGGAAAGCGGGAGAATGGGGCGGGGTGATGGAAAGCGGGAGAATGGAGCGGGGTGATGGAAAGCGGGAGAATGGGGCGGGGTGATGGAAAGCGGGAGAATGGGGCGGGGTGATGGAAAGCGGGAGAATGGGGCGGGGTGATGGAAAGCAGGAGAATGGGGCGGGGTTATGGAAAGAGGGAGAATGGGGCGGGGTGATGGAAAGAGGGAGAATGGGGCGTGGTGATGGAAAGAGGGAGAATGGGGCGGGGTGATGGAAAGCGGGAGAATGGGGCGGGGTGATGGAAAGAGGGAGAATGGGGCGGGGTGATGGAAAGAGGGAGAATGGGGCGGGGTGATGGAAAGAGGGAGAATGGGGCGGTGTGATGGAAAGCGGGAGAATGGGGCGGGGTGATGGAAAGCGGGAGAATGGGGCGGGGTGATGGAAAGAGGGAGTATGGGGCGGGGTGATGGAAAGAGGGAGAATGGGGCGGTGTGATGGAAAGCAGGAGAATGGGGCGGGGTGATGGAAAGCGGGAGAATGGGGCGGGGTGATGGAGAGAGGGAGAATGGGGCGGGGTGATGGAAAGAGGGAGAATGGGGCGGGGTGATGGAAAGCGGGAGAATGGGGCGGGATGATGGAAAGCGGGAGAATGGGGCGGGGTGCTGGAAAGAGGGAGAATGGGGCGGGGTGATGGAAAGAGGGAGAATGGGGCGGGGTGATGGAAAGCGGGAGAATGGGGCGGGATGATGGAAAGCGGGAGAATGGGGCGGGGTGCTGGAAAGCGGGAGAATGGGGCGGGGTGATAGTGTTAACGGGAATGGAGTGTTGGCCCCGCCCTCGCTTGGGCAACGACGACGACTTGGTCGGATGTCCGGGAGTAGCAGCCGACCGTTCACAGTGGGAGAGCTGCTTGACAGGCTTCGTCGAGCTGCAGGAGACCGCTGTGGTGCTGCTGTCGACCAGGGAGCTCGACAGCTGCAACTGACTGGTCTGGGCGACGGGTGGGACGTCGACCAGGAGGGGCAGCTCGACCGGGAGGTCTCCGGAGCATCCCGTCGACCTGCAGCTCGACCGGGAGGTCTCCGGAGCATCCCGTCGACCTGCAGTTCGACCGGGAGGTCGACGGAGCAGTTTGTCGACCTGACAAGTGAGCAGCGGTCGACGAGGGGAGCTCGGCGACAATCGCTGACTGTTCCGGTCGACGGAAGGGGTCCGTCGACCAGGGGGTAGCTCGACGATAGTTGTGGTCGACCAAAGGGACCTGGTGGTCGACCAGAAGCAGTGGTGGTCGACCGGAAGCACCTGGTGGTCGACCGGGTCGACTGGGTAACCTGCTCGACGAGTTCTGCGGAGGCACGCGAACGTCGTCGAGGTTGCGATGGAGCAGGCGTCTGCGGACTGGCATCCCGGAGTCGATGTGGCTCGTCAGGCGCAGACAACAGCCGACGGATGCCCAACGAGGCAAGTCGGGCCAATCGTCTGCGCGCATCTGTGAGCGTGCGCACTGCTATGTTCTACGGGGCAACGCTGGACAGCCGCTCTGCTGCAGTGTTGGCACGCCGTCGACCTGCTCTGTTGGCAGGTCGCCCCTCTGCATTGCTGGCCCGGCTCCTCTACGCAACGCTGGCAGGCGGTCGACCGAGCTGTGCTGGCGGTCGACCAGGCCAGCTGCAGGGTTGCTAGGTGCCTGATGTAGTCATTCTGTCATTGCTTGTTCAATCATTCTGTAATTCCAACTTTGCTAGTGGAAACTCTTGCCGATTTCTCCCGTGAATGTGCAAGCACTAAGGAACCAAGCAAAGCTACGATCACTCCTAGTAGTTCGTGCCAACCCCCCGTAGTCTAGCTCACTACCGTTGTAGAGTGACTCTCCGCATGGTGTGGTGAGCGTGGACGGCCCCGCAGATTACCTTCAGATAGGAGCCGACTTTTGCACCTACTAAGTCGTTCGTAGGCCGGCAGCAGCGATAGTCACCATGGTCGACCCCGTAGTTAATGCGGGCGTAGCGGACACCTTGGAGGCACGCTTGGCTGACGCGAGGAGACGCCACGCGGATGGCGAGTACGGGACGATCCCCTTGGTGATCGCCGAGTTGGGCATCCGGTCGTAGTGGGCGACGGAACACCCTTCCCGTCCTGCTTCTCCTCGACCGGTGCGCAACGAAGGTGGCGTTGACGACGAGGTCGACGGTGGTGCACAAGCCAGTGGCAGCGAAGGCACGAGGCAGAGAGGGGTGATCAAGGTCGACGGTGGTGTCGACGGAATCCGGGCGCGAGTGCAGCGGTCGACGGCGGCTGCAGACAGCTCGCGTGCCGACGTCGATGTTCGACGTCGCTCTCCTCTACGAAACGGTGGAGGGCTCTCGGCGACGACGCATGTGACGGCGGGCGGGATTGCACCGGCGTATGGCTACTTCAAGTTCTCGCCGGACCGGATCACCGTCGCACCGCTGCAAGGTCGACGGGACCACATCACCTGGAGGGAGTCGATCGAACCTTAGCTGGAGGTCGCCGGGCTGAAGGGCTTCGTTGACGGCACCGTGCCGATTCCGCCCGAGGAGGATGTCGAGCTGCGCGGGGAGTTTCGTTCTGCTCACCTGCTCAGCTTCATGGTCATCTCGAGGTGCTGCTCGCCGGTGGTGCAGCTAGCGCTTAGGAGCTGTCGAGAGCGACTGGATGATGGTCACCAGGCGTGGCGCTTCATCATGTCGACGTACCAGGCCAGGGACGACCTGTACATCGGACAACTGGAGGAGAAGATGACTCACATTCGGATGGGCGAGCAGGAGTCAGCGACGGATTACTGCAACCGTGCTCGACGGATCCTGGCTGAGATGCGGATGGCGGGCGCCGAATACTCGACGGCGTCCTACATCACCCACATTGTCAAGGGCCTGCCACGCAGCTACAATCTCATGAAGAGGATGATGATGGTGCCCGGCACGCGTGAGTCCCTCGATGAGGACTCAATCACCAGCTACATTCTTCAAGATGAGGCGATGCATGAGGCCGAACAACCTACAGAGCTCCTTCCGCAGGCAAACTACGCTGCGTTGACGAAGCTGAATCAGCAGCAAGGGCAACGCGGGAAGCCGGACGGAGGTGGTAGCGGAGGTGGGCGGTCGACGAAGGACGTCGACGAGAAGAGGTCGACATGGGACAAGGGTCAACGAGGTGGTGGTCGATGGCGGGAGTGCTGGATCTGTGGCGACCCCGACCATCTCTCCTTCGAGTGCCCCGACCGCGATGACAGCGACGAGGACGACAACAAGGGAGGCCGTGGTCGATCGGCCAGTCATCCCCCTCGTCGAGATGAGAAGCCGCGCAAGGAGAAGCAAGCGTCGAAGAAGACGTCGTCGACGAAGGACGTCGACAGCTCTAGCGGCAAGAGCCGAGGCGACGGGGAGGCGTCGTGCTCGATGGTCGGCGTGGTGGGGCCGACGGTCTCGCTGGCGCCGGAGGCTGGCGAGGACTTCCAGGCGGTGGCGGCAACTGTGCAGGCCAACCCGATGGCGGTGCTGCTCGACAGCGGGTGCTCCCATCACCTGATGGGGACGAAGTCGGTCTTTGTCGACATGGGGCCGAGCGATGGGGTGAAGCACGTGCGTGGGTTCAACGGGGCACTGCAGCCTTTCGAGGGTCGCGGAACTGTCGCTCTGCAAGGGGAGGCCGGGAAGCGGGTCCTCATCCCCGACGTACTCTACGTTCCGGGCGTACAGGCGAACCTGCTGTCAGCTGGCCAACTGAAGGAGAGCGGAGTGCAGCTGCAGAGCGACGGCGACGAGATGCTGCTCGTCGCCGCGACCGGGGAGGTGCTCGGTCGAGCACGCTACACCGGACGAGTCCTCTGCACCGACCTTCGCCCCTGCTCGACGCGGTCGCCGTCGACTGAGGTGGTGGCTCTGCGGACGATTGTCTCAGCGACGAAGACAACCCTTGCCATGTTGCATGCGAGGCTCGCGCACGTCGGCGTCGACACGATCAAGAGCTTGGCGAAGCATGAAGTTGCCGTTGGGCTCGACATCACGCCGTCGACAGGAGCAGATCCGCCGTGTGTCTCGTGCGTCGGAGGGAAGCTGGCGCGGCACACCTTCCCCGACAAGGGCTCGGACGCCGATGAGGCACTGGCTGTCGCGCACATTGACTTGTGCGGGCCATTTCGGGTGGCTGCCAAGGATGGCAGCTTGTACTTCCTGCTGCTGAAGGATCGCCATACTCGATTCGTGTGGGCAATGCCTGTCGCTAAGAAGAGCGACGTGTTGCGGGAGTTCCAGAAGTGGCTGGTGCTGGTGGAACGACAGACGAAGAAGTCGGTGCTGTTGCTTCGCTCCGATCGAGGAGGGGAGTTCCTTGGCAAGGATTTCACCGCCTTCGTCGACGGGAAGGGCATCGTCCACGACCTGACATGCCCCTACACTCCGCAGCAGAACGGCATGGCTGAGCGAGAGATGCGCACGGTCGTCGAGTCCGTGCGGACGATGCTGCTGCACATGGGCGTGTAGCACCCCTGGTGGCACCTCGCTCTTCGACAGGCTGTCTGGGTGCGCAACTGCTTGGAGCGGTCAACGACGCCGCCGGGGACGACCCCGTACCAGCTGCTGACCGGGAAGAAGCCCGACCTTACGCTGGCGTGGGTGTGGGGCTGCATGGTGCAGTTCATGCTTCCCGAGCAGCAACGCGGTGGGAAGCTGGCGCCGAAGGCTTGCTGGGGGCTTCACCTGGGTGTGTCGCCGGAGAGTAAGGGCTGGGAGGTGCTCGACCTGACCGACACCAAGGTGGTCACGTCGGTCGAGGTGATCTTCTAGGAGACGCTGTCGCTGGAGGTGTGGAAGGCGAAGTATGGGCCGACGTCGGGGCGGACGCAGGCTCACCCGCCGACGGACACCTCGACGGCGACGGTTCCCCTGCTCGCCGACGTCGACAAGCCTGTTGATGAGGATGTTGTGGAGGTTCTTCCGCCTCCCCCTGTTCTTGCTCCTCCCTCTCCCGTCGCAGATCGGCCTGCGTTGACACCTGTGTCGGCCACCGGCGATGAGGGGAGCTTTGAGGCGTCGCCTGTGGCGCCGGACAGTGGCATCGCCGGCGGTCGACAAGGCGCCAAGCTCGTCGACCAGGATGGGAAGCCGTCGATGACAGGGGAGCACCAGATAGGGGAGCCGGTCAAACAGGAGGCAACAGCAGCGGTGCAGCCGACAGGGGAGCAGCAGCCGGGGCGGTCGACAGGGGAGCTGTCGAAGTCAGCAGCAGGCAAGCAGCTGGTCGAGGGGCCGAAGCAGCTGGTCGACGACGAGGACGTCGACGAGGAAGGGGAGCAGTCGGCGGGTGAGGAGTCCACCGACAGCGACGTGGTGGAAGTGCCGATCACGAAGCCTGAGCTGCGACGCACAGGTCGAGCTCGACGGCCACCGGAGCGGTTGAGCTTCCACGCCTGCCTACCGCCAGCTGCCTTCACCACGGTGTACGACGAGGTCGACGACGACCTGTTGTACGACGATGCCGAGGAGGATGAAGACCTGCCGGAGCTCGACCCTGACGTGCATGCTGACCCCGAACACAGCTGGGACATCGCCACGATGACGGTAAAGGAGGCGCTGTCGAGCTGGAAGGGCGAGGTGGTGAAGGCCGCCATGGAAGAAGAGATTCGCAGCCTCATCGGTATGGGGACTTGGGAGCTGGTCGAACGCCCACGCGAGGTGAACATCATGAAGAACCGGTGGGTGCTGACGACCAAGTACCGCATCGACGACACCGTCGAGCGCGAGAAGGCGAGGCTGGTCGTGAAGGGCTTCACGCAGGTGTACGGTGCCGACTACGACAAGACGTACTCGTCGGTGAGCAGCTACGTCACGCTGAGGATCTTCCTCAGCATCGTCGCCGTCCTCGACCTCAACCTGATGCAGCTCGACATGAAGAACGCTTTCTTGCAGAGCAAGCTCGACAGGGTGCTCTATAGGTACCAGCCGGACTACTTCGACGACGGGACTGGCCGGGTGTGTAATCTGCTGAAGAGCCTCTACGGGCTGAAGCAGTCGCCGCTGTTGTGGTACAGGGCTCTCGACAGTGTGCTGCTGGGCGCTGGCTGGAAGAAGAGCCAGGTCGACGAGGCACTCTACTTCAAGGCCGGCGACGACGGAGTGACCTGCTGGGTGCTGGTCTACGTCGACGACCTGCTCGTCGCCAGCAGCAGCACCGCGATGCTGAAGGAGCTGAAGGAGCTGCTGGAGGCCGCCTTCGAGTTGCGTGAGATCTCGCCGGTGGTGAAGTACCTTGGGCTGGAGATCGTGCGCGACAGGCCGGCCAGGAAGCTGTGGCTGCACCAGCAGGGCTACGTCGACAAGCTGCGCAGGCGATTCATCAACGAGGAGCAGGGCGGTCGAGTCCCGAAGACGCCGGTATCAGTCAACGCCTACGCTCAGCTGACGTTCGACGACGAGGAGGCTCAGGAGCGCGAAGAGGAGGAGTGCCGGCAGAAGGTCGGCTCGCTGCAGTTCGCGGCGACGACGACAAGGCCAGACATCGCGTTCGCCTGCAGCAAGCTGGGGAGCGGCCTCACGGTGAGGAGTAACCAGCATTGGCGCGAGGTCGACCGCTGCCTCGCCTACCTCGCCGACACCCGCGACACCGCCCTGGAGTTCGGCGGTGGACCAGAATCGTTGGAGCTGATCGGCTACGTCGATGCCGACGACGCGGGCGACAAGCAGAACCGGACGAGCACGGGAGGCTACGTGTTCGTCTACGGAGGGGCCGCCGTCTCCTGGTCGAGCTCGCGCATCAAGTGCGCAACATTGTCATCGACCGAGTCGGAGTACGTGGCGGCCACGGATGCCGGCAAGGAGGGGCGTCGCCTTCGCTTCCTCCTTGCGGAATTCAAGCTGCTCGACGCTGGGAAGCCGACCATCCTCCGCGTCGACAACAAGTCGGCAATCACAGTCGCTGAAGGCTTGGGATTGACGGGCAACCTCAAGCACATGGAGCGACGCTACGCCTGGCTGCAGCACATGGTGAGGCGCGGGAAGTTCGTGTTGAAGTACATCCCGACCACCGAGCAGCCGGCGGACTACCTGACGAAGGCGCTGCATTTTCCGGCTTTCAACCGGTGCTCTGTCGCCATCGGCCAAGTTCGCCTGACCGACGTCAGCGACGGCGACGATGAGGTGCAGCAGTAGGTGCCGTGCCCTTCTGCACGGCTGGTGCGGTGACGGCGTGCTGTGTGTGGGGTGCACGCCGAGGACGAGTTTTCTCCGTGGAGTACTGCCGTGTGGGCTGGAGGCCCAAGCGTGAGCGCGGCAGGGGAGTGTTAACGGGAATGGAGTGTTGGCCCCGCCCTCGCTTGGGCAACGCCGACGACTTGGTCGGATGTCCGGGAGTAGCAGCCAACCGTTCACAGTGGGAGAGCTGCTCGACAGGCTTCGTCGAGCTGCAGGAGACCGCTGTGGTGCTGCTGTTGACCAGGGAGCTCGACAGCTGCAACTGACTGGTCTGGGCGACGGGTGGGACGTCGACCAGGAGGGGCAGCTCGACCGGGAGGTCTCCGGAGCATCCCGTCGACCTGCAGCTCGACCGGGAGGTCTCCGGAGCATCCCGTCGACCTGCAGTTCGACCGGGAGGTCG